TAGGGTATGAGGTGTGGGGTTAGCCCCTGCTTGCTGTATTTGCTTGGGGTATTTGCTTGGGTTGCTTGCTTTTCCCAAAGTAACGGATGTGCCGCGGACGCGTGTGTGTACGGCGTTCAGGTCATCTCCAAGGCAAATTCAAAAGCGACGCGGAAGAGGTATGTATGTGCCGAGAACGCACCGTAGTGATTTGCAATTGTGCCACGCCGCAGGGGCCCAACCTCGAAGCGATACACGCTGTCGACGGTCAAGTCCGTGTAAGAATCCTTTGCAAGCTTCGTACAACCATAGACTAATATACGAACAGCTTTTTTGTCTTCCGGGGAGTGGATGTAGTGATGATCAGTTGGGGGCAGAAAGGAAGCAGTCTTTGGTACTGAAGCATCCAAGGGTTGCTTTCATGTGGAGGGGCGTTGCGCCATGTAGACTGTCTCATCACAAAGCAAAACAAGACAATTACAAGCATGTGCCTGGCCCGGTGAGTGTAAGAATTGGCACCCAGAAATTTCCAGGTGTGTTCGCCGTTTGCTGTGTTGGGCCCTGAAGGGCTGTTGTGGATCCCGATTTGTCTCATGTGTTCTAACGGTGCGGCAGTAAGTTGCCCAGAACGTTGCTGGCATTGTTATTTAATGCAAAGCCTCCCCCCAGGCAAAAAGAAGAGAGAGGTCCAGGGATCCCTTCTAACCGGGAGGTCTCCACCCTGTTTAGGGAAGCAAGCCCCGTTCAGGGCGCGTGCCTGGACACTCGGGGCGCGTGCCTGGAGACTCGGGCCGCATGCCTGGACACTTGGTGCGCGTGCCTGGACACTCTGCGGCGACTTTTTGACACTCGGGGGCGCCTTCTTGACACTCAGGGCGCGTGCCTGGACACTCTCGGAGGCGCCTTTTTTAAACTCAGAGCGCGTGCCTGGACACTCGGGGGCGCCTTCTTGACACCAGAGCGGCGCTTGGACACTCAGAGCGCGCGCCTGGACACTCGGGGCGCGTGCCTCAACACTCGGGGTGCGTGCCTGGACACTTGGGGCCGCTAGGAGCGCCTTCAACACCCGAGCGGCCCCCTTGAGACTCGGGGCGCGTGCAAAGACACTCGGTAACACTCGGGGCGCCTTCTTGAATACTCGCAGAAGCCCAAATTACCGGCCAGAAGCAGGGCACCCGAATCCTGAACCAACAAGGTCAAAACCAACAAATTAATTCAACAACAAGAGGGATCACCAACGTCCAAATAGCCAAACAACTAAGCCTCGGATTTCCAGCAGCCATCGACGCAGAAATGAAGGAAGGGATTAACTTTAATCAATTTAAAAATAAACAAATACAACAACACTCAAATGCAAATAACATGTAGATTTCCAGGCCAGTGGAAGAGAAAGCAAGCAAGGAAGCATAGCAGGAAGAAAGGCCAAAGGACGACGGAGGGAAGGAAAGCAGAACGCAACGAATGAGAAGGTGTAGGTCCTCCATGCTATTCGTATTCTGTACAGGGTCTCTGTGTAAAGCGCGTTGCGCAAATCAAATCGTCCCACGCGAAGCTACGTACTGTATACATGTTCATGTGTGTCTGCAGGGATGCGTATGCACCGGTGCGACAACGTGGTAATCATTTTCTGTTCTCACATTGTGAGGTTGTGAGTCCCAAATACTCAGCATACACCATAAAGGATCTACTTCAGGAAGCCCCTAGAGTATGTTATTAGAACTGACATGTTCCCATCTTTGTCCAAGTTTTTCAACCCTCCCCCCACTTCCCTTAGTTTCTAAACAGAACATGCAATGCTTTGGATCCTGCCTTTTTCTCATCTTCGCGCACGTTTGGCAAATTTGGGGGTTGCTCCCCTGACTCCACCACAATCTCAAAGAAGCAAGCACAAAGTCCGGAAAACCATTTGAGCCACAATCTAAGCTCCTTAAACGGGGTTATATAGGGGATTAAATGGGGACTACTACAGGGCTTATTAAGGTGGATACTAGGAGCTTAGACTATAGCTCATTTCAAAATATAGCAGGAAGTTGAACGTTCTCATGTTCGTTCCTGCCCTGCAAATCAGCCCCATCGAATGTGGCCCCCAACGTGCGGCATTTAGAGTTTTAGATCCTCAGTTCATGGTATGATCGTCCGTTTGTTTCATGTTTTTGGTCCCACACCATCCCACGCGGTGTCCTGAACACCTATGAGTCCTTCACTGCCGAAGACCCAGTGCCTTCAGACCTGCTTTCAGGGCCGATTAGTTGTTCCATTTCTGGTTAAGCTGAACGGAGTGTGGACAACGTTGGTGTATCAAAGCTCCTACACCCTACACGTTCAAAGGAGAAGTTGTTGGCTTGTGCTCCAGTGCTCAGTCATCAAGTCTGCTTTTGATTTTGGTGTCCTTGAGGCAAACGCATGTACGGACCTCAGATGTTGCCTCTGACCGGTTGACGCGCTTCTGCACATGAGGCTATTACCTGGCATGAAACTCTGCCAGCCCTTCTGTTGATCATTCCTGGACACCCAAGCGTTTTTGTGTTGCAGACTTTTACGCTTGAAGTTGACGCCTGCCTGCCAAGGCGACGTGTCACAGGCGAAAACAAGCGCCGGTTCGTATCTCTAGAGGCTGGCCTGCAGCGGTGAGATGCTGGCTGGTAAGAACCTGGACTGAAGCTCCATACTTAACGAGTTTGGGAGCCCCAACTCATGCGTTGTAGGTAACGCGTTTGGTTGGTAGAAGGGCTGGCGATGTATTCAGAAGCACATGACATCAAAGTGCAACATGGGGGCTGCGGATTGAAGTAGTCACAAGCTAGACTCTCTGCCTGTGTTCGTGTGTGTCTGGCAGGAGGATCTGGATTTGGATTTGGCATCCCAGCGCGAATGAATGCGAGTACATTCGCTGTGGATTGCTGTGGCTTCATGTGTTTGCAGTTGCTCGAATACTTGACATTGTTCTCCAGCGCCTTGCCTGGTGTCTTCCATGCACATGGCTGCTGTTCAGATCGCCCAAGCCGGGAAATCTTGCAAGACCTGCAAAGCAAGGGATGAACTTGATGCAAGGAAGGGAACCTTAGCTGGATTCTGGATGATTCTGGTTGCCTGCTCGCTATTCCGCCGACCCTGCTTCTCTTTGTTCTGCAGTCCCGCCCACTGTGACTTGTGTCTGTGGCTGTTTTTTATAATCATCCGCGGCTGGACCAAGGTATATGTTACGCCCTGGCACTCAGTTGCAGAGGTGATGATTTGTTTGTAAAGGCTGATGCAGAACAGAAGGAACAAGAGAAATCCCTTGAACACGAACGCATGACCTTTCAGCTGTAGGCCTCGCCTGATCAGCATGAGCGTGCCAGCAGATGGGTGGCTGCTGAGACCTCAAGCCAGTTTTGGGGGAAGGGCAGAGATAGATAATGGTGGATGTGCTCGATAGTCAGCTACACTGTGGGGACTGCGGAATTATTTGCATATGGCAGGGATGCTCGACTGGTAACTTGATGCTTGATTCTGCTTGATGCCAACACATGTCAAGAAGCACTTGTGCGTGCAGCCGCCATGTGGCCTGGGCAAGTGTGGGTGGCGTGGGTCATCAACCGGAGGGTCTGCCTGTACGTCGATGCAGGATCTGGCAGTCCATGTTTTTGCTATTCATATGGTGGTATTCTTGTATTCTGGTCAGCATGTGGCACGAGTCCCCACACGGGGCTTTTCCATTCTGACAAGAATCAGGTCATCCACATTCCACCCTGACGTAGTCCTCACCAGGAGATGAGATGTGCTGCAAGCTGCGTGACCGTATGGACTCAGGATGCAGTTCTACCGGAATCCGCTGTCGGAGGTGGTCCGCTTCTTCGAGACTTTTCACCCTGAGACAAGCTCTCAGCGGAACTCCAGAGGGAAACAGTTTGCATGATAGCTGACGCAACCACTTCCTGAAACACCCGCGAGACATCGCGTTCTTGCATGCCCAGGAGATACCTCATCATCAATGCGTGCCCTGAGATCCCGTACAACGAGGCCTACTGAGTTCGTGGTGCCAAAGGGAAGCAAGCTGCGATTATTGGCATTAGTGTTATCATTATTGTTATAGTATTATCATAGTCATTACTCTTAATACTACGTTGATTATTACATCCATTATATGAGTATAATTAGTTCCATGATGCATGGATGCCTGCCTTTGGGCCCAGGGGTCTGAGCGCGGGCCACTGCTTTCGGCTGCTTAAGTGCCGGGCCGTTCCTACTTGGGGGCTTTCCCAAAATTGGGGGTCCCTTTAAAGGGGATGTAGGGATTATATAGGGATATCTGGGGTTTAGGATTTCCCAAAATTAGTGATTCCTTTTTTGGGGGGCCCCCATAAAAGGGATTACGCTATTTTTTGGTCTATGCTGGCGTCCCCACTTGGGGAAAGTACCACTTCAATGGGTCAAAGGTCATGCTTCTGCTGTGGCACAGGCAGCATTCCGGACGGGGATCGTGGAGAGGTTCGATGTGCAGGATGGAGAGCCCTGTCAGCTGCTGGTTACCAATCAGTAAGACATGTTCACGTTGCGCTCGAACCCTTGCATTTGCAGTTTGCTGCTTTGGTCTCCACTCATGCCTCCTGCACCTCGCCCGCTTGATCATTCAAGGCCATCATGAACACGCTCATGCAGCCTACTTCTTTTCACGTGGCACATGTACAAACAATCGAAGGCGCTACAGAACCTGAAATGCCCGCGAAGTGCAGGCACATGAGGAGTCAGGAGTTCCCTGATGCTGAAGACTTGACAGCATATCTGAGTGCTTGCGCTCAGCTGCACTCAGCGGTAGGTGACTGATCTACTAGTACCTTGGTATCCTTCATCTGGCAAGCAGTGGAAATAAGTCTGCCTCGCGGCAGCGGGCCAAAGTCTCATGGCATGGGGCATAGCTGCTCGCCGATGGGTGGTGGTGCTGTTGCTGAGCCAGCTTGGATGCCGGACTGCATCGTGAAAAAGGTGTAGCATAAATAGCGCGCAAAGCATACGCCTCTGCACGTTCGCATGCCCGCTCTCTTTTGCCACACTTTGCGCGTGTGTCGGGCAGCGATGTAGGGTCGAGGGCATTAAAGCATTTGCTTCGGAAGATTCGGCAGGGTGCATTGAGGGTCTTCGTGGTGCACCTGAGGGCGCGCGGCGGCGCAGAGCAACATTGCCTGCGCGCATCTCAGCGCTCAGGTGTGCTCCCACCGAGGCCAGCAGCATGTCATAGCATGCAATTTTAAAAAGTTCCGCAACGAGCAGCGGGGCGTTTGATCTTCAGTTGGGCATGTGCGCTAGCGAGTGGTCCCATAGTGATGCCCTCTCCATTTAATTAGCAAAAACATGGGCAATGGCTTCCCCTTCCACTTTACAAGAAACATGTTGTTCCCTTATGACAGGAGGGGGTACCGGCACTATGACAGTTAAGGGGGGGAGTACCCCCCCCACCAATAGGGGCGGGGATGTGGTAGCCTGTATTTCCCTAATGATACGGGCTCTTGACACAGAGGGTTCCAAAAAACAAAGATATGAAGGGCTAAAACGGAAAAGAGGGAAAGCACGCCCGTGAGCAGAAGAAATACGGTGTACACATATGTATTTTGATATGTACAACTATATTTAGATTTTCATATTTATATCTTCATCTATATGCCTATACAATTTTATGTGCATATATATATATATGAGCATGAACAATCATTTTCAGCTGTGCTGCCTGGCACCATCTCGCACCAGTACTTGGTACCGTGTCCCCGTGACTGCATTCTGGGAGGATTATGTGAGGATTATCATTTAAGGGTTATATGTGGATTATGTAAGGATGAAGCACCAGTGCTTGATACCACGCTCTCACCCCCCCTCGGTCTGAGGATTATGTTTGGGTTATAAAGGAATTATGTGAGGTTGCTCTGGTATAGCTCTGATGCTCGGAAATTCAATACATGCCAGTACAATGAATGACAATGACTTACAGTATTCACGCAATAAGCCTCTCATAATCCTTTGTACCTCACATCATAATCCCGATTATCCCTCATACATTACTAGAAGGACGCAGCCACGGAGACGTGATACCAGGCATTGTGCTTAATCCTAACACAATGCTCCTGGGACGCCACAGCCACAGGGACATAGTGCCAAGCACTGGTGCAAGGCAGGTGTAAAGTAATAAGAATACAAAACCAGGCATGGCAGCACACGTATATACATGCTTATGGAAATGCACACGGTATTTATACTGCTCATGGGCATGCTCCTTTGCTCTTCTTTGAGACCTTCTTGATTTCATCTTTGTATTTCTTTGTGTCAAGAGCGTGAATACAAAATCCACAACAAAACAAAACGTATTTTCTATACTTCGACCCCTCTCCCTTTTAATTAAACAAAAAATTGCATTCCCCCTCCCCTGTATAAGTTTTTTGGACTTTATAAATGGGCGTGCCCTCCTCCCATGTTCTTAACCCAAATAGAGGAAAACTAAGGACTTTTATGGCTTCTCTTCCCCCCGCCTATTTACAATTTATTTGATGGGGGGGACATGTGTGTGCCTTGTCTTTGCCAGCTACGTTGTAGCCAGACCAAACTGAATCATTGTTTGCAGAGCCGCAGGCAACTTGGACAACGATGATCTTCAGCTGCTGACTGCAGTTCGGGTGCAGGGGCTCTTCGGCCAGAATGTGGGATGCGTGGCCCGGCGGCACAGTTCGGGGCAAGGCTTAAACTCATGCGGCATCTTCCTTGTAGGGAGATGGGGGCGCATCTGAGCTGCTGCTTGTTCAGCTTCACTATGTTAAAGTAGGGCCTACTACTGTAACAGCTTGTGAAAGATGAGTGCAGGCTGATCTGGACGTTACCAAAGTCTGGGTTTCACGCGCCCAGAACTCCGACCCTGAGCTGGTGGTGGGACATCCAGATGATTTTGAGCCTGGTACTGAACGAGACAGTGTTGAGTAAGCATGGGCAAGCAGGAGCAAGCAGGTGCAGCAAAAAAAACAGGTGTAGCAAGAACCACCCTCAACAGCCGTGCCAAGAAAAAACACATGGGCAGTATTCTGTCAGGCCCTATGTAGTGCGGCCAGTCACGCAAGTTGCAGACACACAGCATTTTGATACATGTGCTGCTGCCCAGGCTTGCCCATGTGACCTGAGTAGAATCAAGCAAAGCACGCAGACATATTTTAGTTTATAATAGTGTATAATAGTATGTTGTAGTATAAATTATGGTAACGATGAAGCAGACAAAGCAGAAGCATAAGAGTAGATCGCAGTAGATCAGGGCCTGGGTCCTGGGATGTCCCGGGTTGAGCGCTTTGGGTCAGAACGGCTGCTGATGTTCAGGAGACACTGTTGCCTTCTTCGGTGCACAAGCGCAACGGCTCAGCGGGTGTGGAAATAGATATCAAGAAAATCCCTCGAGACATGGGCAAGGCGAGGCATTGCCTAATTGAACTTCAAACTCGCATGCCTCTCAGTGGAAGGCACTCAAGCTGCCGCAGCTTCTTCAGCTCCTCCGGCGGAACTCTGTTAGGCGCGGTCAGCATGACTCACCTTCTTCCAAGCTGCAGTGGTGGTGCAGCAGGTTCGTCGCTTTGGAGTTGAAGGACATGGATCTGCAAGTGGCTGGGCCTGATTGGGCAGATTGCTTCCGCTTACACCTGCATCGGTTTGGGCAGCCAATTGTTTGGAGCTGGGGGGCACGTTCAGCTTTCACCCAGGCTACATTGCTGGAATACGGGGAGCAGATTAGATAGGAACTCCGCTAGGCTGCAGGAAGGAGGGACGGCTGAATTGAAGTGCTACTTTGTTTTGGTTTTGCCGACCTGTATAACCATCGAGCCCGCGTCGATGTCATGAGCCTTTAGCACGGAATCTAGAGCTCACAGCGCAGAAAGAAGACGCAGATCACGCGTCACGTTGAGGTGTTGGAGCTGATGCTGCAAACTTTGCGCCAAGAAGGCTTTGCAAGCAGGGGCGATGTGGGCCTGTGGTACTCGCCTGCGGACCGGAGGGGCTGCTTGCAGGTCAACTTCAGAGTGTCCATGGTATGTAGTATTCTATACAGTTACTACTATGTTTGTAAATTATGTTTACTACTGTTGGTTTTACTACTGTTGGTTTTACTACTGTTGCTCTTATGGATGGATGTGCTCGAAGATGCATGCCGCCCTTCAATCTGCTGGATTAGCAGTGCTCATGCTAGCAGCCCGGAACTTATTGAGGCTAAGCTCCTTAGAGGGGGTTACATGGGATTATATAGGGGGTTCTTTTAGGGTTATTAAGGATGCTAGGTGTTTAGACTCTAGCTCATATTGAGGCTATGAGTTCGACATAGATTGACCGTTAGAAGCCACTGCACTAAAGCCTCGAAGCCAAGGCCCCTCAATCATGGTACCATATCAGCACAGCTGCTAGCTTGTGAATTGCTCTCTCGTTGCAAGCTGAGGAAGTGGCTAGGCACTGCAGAGTCTAGACACTTTGTCCCTGAAGGATGTGGAGCTCTACCAGCAGGTGCACAAAGACCAGTATCCAGATGTTAAGGGCATTCTGGCAGCTCGGCCAGGTACATGTCATGGAATTCAAGCGTTTGCATATGAATGAGGCAGAAGTGTTGGCACGTTTGAGTGAGGCCATGTATGACAAGCCATGGAGAGGGAGCCGGGCTTGCAAACCAGCAAGTTTTTAGGCCTTTTCTGCGTGCCCGGACGCCATAGCAGCCGCAGCGATTACACCACGGCCAGTGGATTTGCACACTCTTCTTGCGCAAAGATGTCGTCCAGCGACAGTGTTGCAAGAACAACGGAATGGAAAAAGGCACGGCTTTTGTCTGCACGTCACGTGAAGCAGAATCAAGCACCTTTGAAGACATACAACGCCAGTTATGGCGGAGTTTTCACCGACCTGGTAGAGGTTCCCAGTTTGCCCTTAAAATGCTACAACAGTTTTTCCTTTCCCTACCTACTCCTGAAACCTCTATAATGTGGCACCCCCCCCCACACAATTTAGGGCGTCCTGAGTCAAAATTGTTCAAGGGTACAGGCTGAACCTAGTGGTATAAGTAGTAGTAGTAGTAGTAGTAGCAGCAGCAGCAGCAGTAGCAGTAGCAGTAGCAGTAGCAGTAGCAGTAGCAGTAGCAGCAGCAGCAGTAGCAGTAGCAGTAGCAGTAGCAGTACTACGAGCATTAGTATTAGTATTAGTATATGTTTTCTGTCTTCAAACCTACAAAATTACTATTTTGGCAGGCCAAACTTGACATTATTTATTGCGGGTACCTCAAACATTTCCCTGTCCTGATGATTCCCCCAAACTTGACGCAATTGCGGGTAGCCATGGATAACCGGGTGCAACATTATGACCACCAGTTTCCATACAATTTTCCATGTTCTTTTCCATTTCACGTCTCCATCTCTCGAATAATCCAGTATAACCCCTATGTAGCTCCATATGGCCCTATATGCACACTATACAGCCCCTACAGAACATTCGTATCCCGATTCAAGGGGCACCTCAGGAACCCTGCAGCATCCCCGGCAAGCCTGGATGAAGCGGCCGAACTTGGTTTTCGTATGCCTCTTGGGCTTGACGCTAACATCTTGGGCTATGTAGGGATTACATGGGGATCGGATAGGGAATATCTGGGGTGTTAGGGGGTGTGGATGTATAGAGATGTTACAAGGGTTATTCAGAATTATTGCTACTGATCTGGTCTCTTGAATCTTGATGACTGCAATCATTGGGGGCCTGAAATGCGTAATTAGCAATGGCTTCCCTTCCGCAACTTTCACGACGTTCTGTCTCAGTCTAAGCTAGATTATGGCTTCTGCTATGAATCGAAGCCAGCGCAATTAGAGACAGATGTGGCATGTTGATTGGGGCAGTGGTCACCCCGGGCAAGCTCAATGCTTAGAGTGATTGAAAGCCTAGATTTGAAACCACAACTTCTTACACGCCAATCTGTGGGGAAATTGTGCCTTCAAACGCTACAGTTGAAGCGAAACAAAGACTTGTAACGACTTCCCGGAAACAAGCTGTAGCTGCGTTGCAGGGGAAAGGGTGTTGCAGCTGATCATGTGAGAGCTGTGGGTCTTGGCTTGGACAGTTACTCTTCATCCCACGTGGCTACGCCCTTCCCAGATTGAGCTACTGTCAACATTAGCCTTATTAGGGGAGCCTACATGGTGGACATGAGGGTCCTTCTTGTAGATTAGTAATGTCCCTAATAAGGAACCCATGTCCATTAACTTACGTAAGAAATATTGACAGTAGCTCATATATACAATTCTTAGCCCATGCCCTGCCAAAAGGGTGGGCCCGTCCATCGACATTGACGAGACGCTGTTGACCAGTGCGGTCCGCCAGGGCTTCCAAGTCACCCGGCCAAATGCTGCATGTCTAGTTAACTCACTGGTTCTTACAAAGGAGTGTGTGAACATACTAAGCATAATCTTCAGACAGAGCTTCTTTCGATCAAGCTTAAGCTTCACGCAAAACTGCCGCCACAGGAAGGATGCCATTAGTCTCAAAAGAATCGCGATGGAGAACACAGTCATCTTAGCAATGCAGCAATCAAAATCACAGAAAAAAATGGTTGCCACAAGTCCCTGCTGACAACCAGTAAGTCAATCAAGTGCAGGGCTGCGTTTGGTGGCGGGTAGTGGGGACATCGTTGGCTCCTTCTTCTGGGGTTGATCCTTGGGTCCTTCAGGTGAGGTTAGTAGGGAATGCAGATGAATTAAGGAAGATATTGCGGTTGTGTAGGGATCATGGAAAAGAATATAGCAGCTACTGCATTATAGCAGGCTATCTATGGGGGGTATAGTAGGGAACAAGAGAAACTTTTTCATAGAAGTTATATTGATGAAATTCCCTTATCCCCTACAGTGCCGTAATCTCAGCTCGTGCCACGGCATGGAGGTCATCGCATTCGGCATATCCACCGAGGACTGCAGATAGCTGAGAGTTGCTGATGAGCACGCTGTTTGCAACGCTGCGTCGTGTTGCCTTTTGGAACGAAGAGGGGCTGAGCGGCTGAGGGGACTTGCTATTGCTCTTGATGTTAGGAGCACGTCCGCAAGGCAGCAAGAAGTGGCGTGCAACTTGGCCAGGTTGGACACCCCTTGAGCGACATGCTGTACATTTTTGGACCTGTGGATCTGTGCGTTGACGGCCAAGGTGCTGTGTCTAGATGCCGAGTCACAGATATAAGATGCGGGTCCTGAGGTGAAGTCATCATCAGGTTAAAGCTCACATGCAGTGCTGGCGGGCAGCAAGGCTCAGGGGCCCCAAGCCAGCCCTAGCAAAGGGTGGTGGAAAGCTGTCGTACGTTGTTGCTCCTGGATTCCTGAGGCAGTACATGGTCTCCGACAAGCCCGTCTGGTTGAAATCAAGACTGGATGCACTGCGTTCGAGACTTGGCCTGTGGGCCTGGGAGCAAGGTTTTTTTTTGAAGTACATGCTACAGGGCCTCCCTTCAGCCTGTGATGGCTGGAGGGCAAAGGCTGCAAGGCTAGGTTGTTGGCTTTACCTCACATTCACATTACATGCGTCTTAATCAAATCCTGATTTCAGGGACCCGAAAGAAAGTCCTGATTTTTGGAAGCCATTTTTGTTTCATGGCGAAACCACGCAGGGGGCAACTGCAGCCTCACAAGCTTATTCAAATGGGCAGCCGGGTAGCCCAACTTCGTAACGTTGTGATGTTGTTATGGTGGGGTGTGATATGGCAAATAGAGGAAACTTCTGCAGAACGCGTAACACATGCAGCCTCGCTAAGTGTAAGAATCTTGCGGGGGTCTTGTCTTGAGTGCTGTGGTAAGCAATGGATTTGGCCAAGGGAAGCGGGCTGCGGTGGCCCGGAGCGGCTTCTGGCAGTGCCTTGGGCTTGCACTGACCTGACTCTGCTACCTCTTCTTGTCCAAAGTGCTGTGTGACCATCAATTTGAGAGGTCTGTGGCATGATGCTTGCTGCTACCTGGACCATACAAGGCTGCTTGGCTCTAGTTCCTATGCAGAGTTCTTGTGGCATGCTGTTTCTGTACCTACTGCCTCAATAAAGCAGATGGGCGAATCTCTCTGAAATGCTGATAATTGCAAAAGCCCTCGAGCGGACGCTACCGTAACCACCCCGAAACCTGCAAAGCTTTGAATTCACAGTGACGCTCTAAACAATTAATGTCACCAGATCGTGACACCTGATCACGGAGCGAACAGATTATCGTTTCTAGGTAAACTACGGAGATAGGACTTGGCTGAGGTGCCCTAGGCGAGGACAGCCGGACAATTCTGTGCATTGTCTCCTTGGCGTCCATCCTCGTTTGGCCCGTGTTTCTGTACATTTTCTGAGCGTTGCATATTGTCCTTGGCCTAAGTTTGCGCAAAGTCATATTCACCAAGCCGCTGCGGGTCTGTGTGACTCCCTGGCTATGCGGGTCTGTGTGACTCCCTAGCTAGATCAAGGCAGCCACGCTTGAGCATATGTGTAATGACGTAAGTGTGTTCTATTTGCTTTGAAGCCGGAGGGGCCAAATAAAGCTCAATGAACGTTTGCCGCGCGAAGCCTGGGAGTGTGTCAGAGGAGGCAAAAAGATAGGATGGCAAGAGATGCAAATGAAGTCGACACAACTCTCAATCCACTTTTCGCAGTTGCGCTGGTGCACTTCCTGGTTTTTTGATGCTTGCTTGCAGCCTGGCTCGGGTGAGAACTGAATGTGATTCTGTATTTGCCTATCGGAATGGGCTCCGTATATCCAGCTTCTGTGGCCCCCAGGCTATGCTTCCAGATTATGCTCGCAACACCATAAACTTGCTGTTGTAGAAAGCTGCCTTGCAGCAGTCATGGAGAACCACAATGGATTCGGCGACTGCCGAGACCCCGCCGCATGCTGTAATTCTTTCTGGACCCTTGTTCTATCAGCCGCACATCACAGCCCTGTATGGTGGCTACAAGAGGACGGCATTCAGACTTGATCTACAGATGTGGGTGCGGGATGCATGGCAGCAGTAGTGGCCCTGGCGTAGGACGGAGAATCTGTACGACAAGGCCACGTATCAGAAAGATATTTCAGAGGATGAGACCACTCAGATAAGCTACCTTTACTTCTCCCTGGCCGATGGAAAGCTGCCTGGCAGCAAAAAGCTGACTTCTTGAGTTACGAGCCAGAACGTAAGTGGCAGTCTCATGCAGTCCTGGTGCAATCATGGTGCTGAAGAATTCCAGAATGCCCTCCTCGAATCCTGAAAGTGAATATACGAAGAGATTTGGGCGGCTGAGGTGGTGTCTCAGCACGAAGCTAGGAGCTACAATTGCAGCACTGCCTGACGCGCGGGGACTTCCACCTGTTCTCATTTATCAGGTGAGAGCTGCATGCTTCTGACTTGCGACAGCCTCTCTGATTGTTGTTTGTGAGGCTGCAGGCACTGACGTGGAGCAGGCTTATCCCAACCTTCGCGGATATGTTTCCTGGGCAGCCAATCTGACTGGCAAAGGCAAGTGGCCTGTGAAGCTTTGACATTGGAACTCAATCGAGGGCTGTGCTCGCTCGCTGCGAGCTTGAGGTTTTGACTAGTGCCAGTCTGTAGCTCTGTGCTTATTTCTAATGCTTCCTGTGCAACGTTTGTTCGGACATGGTATTTGCCAGGCATGAACTTTGTTTTCGATCACCTGCTCGTGCTGGAGCCCCTTTTCTTGCCAGAGGAGGCTGCAGATCCCAAGAGCTCTCAGGGCGGCTTCATGCACATTTTGGCGGCCTGGATGCAGCCAACCGCGTGTTGAGAGCCGCAGGCAATGGCTAGAGCAGCCACTTGCAGCAGCCACGAAGGTTCGGCGGTACCTGGACTACGAGTTTCCGCCTTGTCCTGCATCGCTTCTTGGTGAGCCTGCCCCGCTGCAGCCTCGCCGCAGCGCAAGGTCTGGATTGAACCATTGTCAGTTTGTCATTGCAAAATCCTAGTGGAAGTTGTGTGTAACGCCGCGTTGTGCCGAGTCTTCAGCGATGTGCGATGCCTGGAAGCTTATTGTAGAGTCACTGAAAAAAGAAAGGCAGCCTTCATGATGCCAGGGCCTCGTGGCGCGCTGGGGCCTCCCTGGCCGTTTTGCAGAGATCACTGCAGCTCCTGGACCGAGACACAGACCCTTGGGCGCAAAGCAAATAGATGTTGACAGCAGAGCAGAAGTGCGGCTGCCATGCTGGGACTAGCCAAAGTATGTCAAAGTGGAATGTCACTCTTGTAAGGAGCCAGGCGCAATTTGGGATTGGGCTTCTTGGACACATTGGGCAGGTGATTTGCGTTGCGTGTTGGTGCCACGCCTGTCCCGTGCCCCACGATGCTCTGCCTGCTACGTTGGGTTGCCAGTCGTGCAAGAGAAAAGGTTGGCTTGGCCGGTGCCTTGCCGTCAGACGTGAGCTGCACACGTTCTGTCCTGGCTGCGGTCCGAGAGTACCCTGGGCTGGTGGAAGGGTTGGTCAGGCTCGGACACATTGCCTGCAATCTGTAACCAGAATTCCGTGCCCTTTCGCAGAGAGGAGTGGCCCCTTGGTCACTGCCGGCAAGTACACCATCAATTTGTTTAATATTTGGGAGAAGCAGTGGCAAGAAATTAGTGACGCGTGGCTGCAGTCTGGCTTCCGAAAATGACGTGCCATGAATCTCACGCTTTTGGTGGAATTCTGCTGCTTTGAGGTGGACGACTTCATGCCTACTGTGAGACAGACATGGGGATCCAGCAGACAGACTCTTTGGGCTGGAGGCTCTCCGCGCCCATTGTGGGTCCGCTACTTGATCTCGCTTGCCCCGATGCTGACCTGCCGCCTGCTCAAGCTGAGGTCATGCTGCTGGAAAAGGCGACGCTTGATAGGCAGTTAAGCGCATGGTGTGCTGAAGGCCTTTCAACATGCTCTACAAATTGCACTTGATGCAGCTGAGGCTGGCCAAGCTATGTGGAAGCTACGATGCCCTCGAGCGTTCACATCCCGGCTTGCTTCTCGCAACTCTCACAGGCCCTGTACATCCCTGTACTGAGTAAGATGATGTTCTGCATGACGCTGTAGTTTTCCCATTTGATCAGACCTGCAGGCCGAGCAGACGGGCTCCTTCATTGGGCAAAAGCCAGTGGCTGGTGGGCTGCGTGGCGTACGAGGCTTAGGCAGATGCACCACGTTACAAACTTGTGTTCTGAGTAATTGTCGGGTTGGGTTACTTTCTTGTGGAGTGTCTGGCCTTTTGCATGCTGCGCGCCAAACATGGGAACATCTTGATTCCTCAAGGAGAGGGTGGATGGTCGTTGATGAGGGGGTGGATCTTGCAGGTAGCCCAACTTGAACGGTCCGCGCATTGTAACTCACGCCCTTTGTGTTTGCAGCCTGCTGCAGAAGCAAGAAGATGAGCTACCGTTTGGGAGGAAGTCACCAAGCTGAAGCTGCTTGAACCCCCCAGGTAAACAAAAAGCGCAACTCTTCTACTTCAATTTCATCGTGCCGGGGATGCCCTGTCCTCCAGTGCTAGAAAGGAAACTTAGCCTGGTCTTGCAAGAAAGAGGTGGAGGATCTTGCCTGAAGGGGAGGCCATGCTCGAGCTTTTGGTGTTTTGGGTCAGCCATGGGACCGAACTGTCGGGGGTAATGTGGGATGCCACGCATTGACCAGAAATAGCCAAAACTGCAAGAAGGGAAGGGTGTGCAGTTTTTACCAGTGCGGAGAGGCAGAAGTCTGAGTTAACAGGCAGGGATTACTTGACAAGAGGGTGTCCCAACAGATGGGTGGTGATGGCAGGACAACAGAGCCGAGGTGAGCGTAGGCTCAGAGCACGACTATGCAGGGCCAGAGAGGCAGGTTGACACAGAAGCGGTGCCTGAACACATGGTAATTTCCCTAAATCAGGGGGACCCAATGAAGCTGCCAATATACTATGTAGCCCTTATTTGAGGGACCCTACCAAGGTACCCCCATTCTTGGGAAAATTACTGCATGGCATCACATGGCTTAAAGAAGAACTTGGCACGAAGTGAAAGCGGCACTGCTCATGTCGAACAGCTGAAGGATTCACTAAGCCTGGGCGTATGCCAACCTTGCATGAAGTACCTTGTGAAGTGTATCTTATGTTGAAGCATGTAGTAAATGTAGTATGTGCTTGTTCAGCCAAAGGTCATGCGCTTCCAATCGTGGACTCCGCTTCGCGAACGCCTTCTCCTTCTCCGGGTCTGCTTCGAGCCTTTTCCTGCAAGCAACATGCTGTCTGTAATCGGAAGAAACTAATGGAGGGCGTTGGTTTAACGCTACCTATTTTTTGTTGCTCTGTTTTTGGTCTACTGGTGCCATTGGCCCCCAGACCCTCAGAAGGATGCAAGGAAGGAAGGTAGGAAGGACGTTCGAACGGACGGACAGCCGGGTGTGGCAGAGGAAGCAGAAATAGGAGGAAAGGAAGGAAGGAAGGAAGGAAGGAAGGAAGGAAGGAAGGAAGGGCGCAAGCAATGGTTCTCTGGGGCCCTGGTCCGATGGCAAACCCTAGCTTCCACCCTAAACTGCAATGTAGGTAAGCAAGCCGTAAACTCTGAAAGTCCCTGAAATTCGATGTTGGTAGCGAACCTGAAAAGACAAACTTGTTTGCAAACCCGAAAAGTAGATGTTGGCCACCCCCCCCAGAACAAATAATATATATATATATATGTATGGATAGAGGCATAGACCACACTTCCAGACCTTGTCTGATTGGTTGGTTCCTTGTCATTATGCTTTTGCGTTGGCAACTAGCATTTGCCTCTCACCTTCACCTGACCTTCATAGCGCCTCATTCGCTCTGGCTTTCAGAGCACCTGCCCCTCTGCGCTTCCAGCTTTCCTGCGAGATTCATTTTAGCTAGACGGGAGGGAATCGCACTAATTCGACGCACTGGCTTCACCCAGGCCGAGCATCCAAAATTCGGCCACTCAAATGCCAGATGCAGCGGATAGGCCATGCGGACAGCCAATTGCATGACCGCGGGGGCTAGTGCAAGCTATTAGCGTGATCAATGGATAAGTGCATCACATGTATAATCATGACGAAACGGGGTTTACACTATGTGCAAACTGTGAAGCTGAGCAGGATAAGGAAACGATCTCTGCAGCAGTTAGGGCGTGCTTGTCATTGTCACTATGCCGACAGCAAAGCTTGCCTCCGAACCTAGATGATCCTGCAGCCCCAGACATTCCGGGAAATACTCTGTAAGTCACAAAGGCTATAAAGTCTATGGTGATGTCGGGCCATGCAGGTGGCACTTGGCATCGCGGCAACGAATTCTTGGCGGTGTTGAGGCTGTCTTGCTGTTGACGAGATGAAAATTGATAGTGGAGGCAGTTGTGCATGCAAGACTCCTCATGGCTACTTACAGTTCGCTCAGGGAGCTCCAGGAGCAGAACGCGCTGCTGCTCGCTTGGATATTTCCAGGTATGCTCGTGCTTCTGCAAATGGATTTGCGTTTCTCCTCTGCATGCCCTCTTGGCCTTGCAACCCCCACCAGGAGAAGTCACAGACAAAGAGCCTGCAACTTCCCGCGCCGATGGCTTGGTACAGGCACAGCAGGCTTTACTTTTTCACATGTGTGTGCGTGAGACGTGTCAGGGGCATGGCTACTCCATCCTGAACTTCCTCGTGGAAGGAGACATCCAGCTCGTTCAGCTCAGAAACCTTTGGGCAGGACTCTGCTGGAGAGGCAGGGTTCTGGATGCTGCCTGTTTATGGCTTATCTGCGCATGGGGGTCCCAGGTTTTTTTTTTCC